AATATTTAGTATTTTTCATTTTAGCTACTTTCATTTATAGTCTTTGATCAGCCTATGCTCTATTAGTTCATACAAGTCGTAGTCTCTATCGTTTTTAATCAGGTTCCTTCGATTGTTGATCTCGGCCGAACCACGACCCTCCGTCTCATTGCTTTAGGGATTTCCATTCATAGAATTATAGGGATTCAAGATGTTGAAAATATCCTTCACGTGTTTAAAGTACAACGCTTCTGAGAGGACGACCTTTCTAGGGGCTTACATGAAACGGTAATAACTGAGAAGAAGCTGGAAAAATGTAAAACTGAGTGCAAGAAGCTCATATGCGACTGAAATGCGACAGACACGCGATTGACCGAATTGTTGTAACGCCCCATTTCATTTTCATCGATCACGCTGTATTTGCTCGATTATATAAATCGGAATGTCGATTGTATTTATTATAATAAATAGAACGAGACATCTTATTTCAGTTCATTTATTTATTTTGTTTTTATTTTATTTATTTATTTTTTTGGTACAGGGACCTTCCGGTTTCTGGATCTACAGGGCAACCGACTAATCCGGAATCGAGCCGGGTAGGACCACAAGGGCGGCAAAGCTCTCCCTCGAGAGTTTTAACACTGCTGCATTCCCAGGGCTCGAACTCGAGACCACTGGTTAAGCTGGAAGAGACCCAAACCATCTCATCCAATCGATCTTAGTTTGTTTTTGTTTCTTCAAATAGAGAAAAAAAATTCATTTGTGTTATTGTTTCATTCTCTCTCTTTTTAAACTTTTTTCCCGCAAAGCACAAAACATTTCAAAAATTTCCTTCGAACGCCGGCGGCGAAACGCCTCCGCCAGACATCACCGTTCTTTGCGGCTATTACCTTAACAGCACCTCCCATGCATTAACAAATCCACTCAAAACTCCGATTATGCTCTCGAACATGCCGATACTTTCAAATCGGCATTTCATCAAACGCCTCACAGGCAAAACGAAGCCCATTTCCCAATTTCCTCCACCTCGAAAGCCAATGGCTTCTCCTTCACTCTTCTTCTCATCCTCCGTCGCAACCGGAAACCTTCGCCGGCTCTACGCCTCTCTATTCTGCACGCTCATCAACCTCTTCCTCCGCTGCGGCCGCCTGTCCAAAGCCGTAGAGGCGTTTTCCGCCATGAGAGAGAACAGATTCACGCCGAAGGTCCACGAGTGGAACAGTATCCTGAGACACTTTAACTGTGCCGGCCTGGTTAATCAGGTAACCATTGTTTACTGTGAAATGATCGCTTCTGGTGTGCGCCGTGATGTGGCTGCGAAGAACGTAGTTGTTCACTCCTTAGCTAAAACGGGGGATTTTCATAGGGCTCTCGATTTGTTGAGAGATAATGGAGTTCGTATATTAATGAGCGACGTGGTTACTTATAATACTGTGATTTGGGGGTTCTGTAAATATGGGCATGTGGATATGGGGCTCGGTTTGGTTTCGGAGATGGTGAAGAGGAATATCGATTTTGATAATTTCACTTGTAATATATTAATGAAAGGATTTTGCGATAAGGGCATGTTGGGTAAAGCTGAAATGATTATGGGCATGTTCTGCAGTAGTCTAGATGGAGATGCTGGGAAGGTTTGTAGAGATGTTGTAGGTTTTAACACCTTGATAAATGGTTACATTAAGTTGGGAGATATTAGTGGTGGTCTAGAGTGGATGGAGAGCATGAAGAAAGAGGGCTTGCCTCCTGATATTGTCACATATAACACATTGATCAATGGATTTTGTGAGATAGGAGATTTTGATAGTGCCAAGAGGCTCATGGATGAACTCTTAGATTATCATAATTTTAATTATGGAGTTGATGATGTGGAGGAAATGCATCCGATGGCAGATCATATTACGTACACGAATTTTGTTAGTGGATATGTAAAGCAGCGTAGAAATGAGGAAGCATTGGCTATGCATAGTGAAATGATTTCAAAGGGACTCGACCCTGATGTAGTTTCATATAGTTGTGTCATGAATGCGCTTCTCAAGAGTGGGAAGTTAGGAGAGGCCAATAGCCTATTCTATGAGATGTTGAAGGCAGGTGTGAGCCCAAACCAGTTCACCTACTCAATTTTAGTGGACCGTTTGTTTAAAAATGGTAATGTGATGGCTGCATACAGCTTCCAAAGTCAGATGGTAGTTCGTGGAGTACCATTTGATGTTATCATGTTCACTACACTAATCAACGGGCTCTTTAAGGTTGGAAGGGGAAATGAAGCTGAGGATGTGTTTTTCCGCCTTTTGGAGTCTAATGTGGTGCCAAATCTCATCACGTACTCTGCATTGATCGACGGTTATTGCAAAATAGGTGACATGAAAGGTGTTGAGTCTGTTTTGCAGCAAATGGAGGAAAAAAATGTTCTTCCCAATGTGGTAACTTATTCATCAGTAGTGAGTGGGTATGTGAAAAATGGAATGCTTGAATCAGCTGTTAATTTACTGTTGGACATGGTACATAAAAATGTCATGCCGAATGTTATAACCTATGCTTCCCTAATAGATGGCTGTTTGAAGTCCGGCAAAAGAGAAATGGCTAAAGATCTATATGAAAATATGAGATTGCAAGGAGTGCACGATAACAATTTTATATTGGATGCTTTTGTGAACAATCTGAAGAGAGAGGGGAAAATGGACGAGGCACAAGACTTGTTTAATGATTTCGTGTCAAGGGGATTGTTACCCGACCTTGTTAGTTATACATCCTTAATGGATGGTCTTTTTAAAGCTGGAAAAGACTCATCTGCCCTAAAAGTTGCGCAAGAAATGACGGAGAAAAATATCGGGTTCGATATTGTTACCTTCAATGCTTTACTCAATGGGTTGCTTAGGCCTGGTCAGTATGATGTGCAATCGGTTTATAATGGGTTGCAGCAGTATGGTTTGGCTCCAAATCATGCTACTTTTAATACATTAATCAAGGCTTATTGCAGGAAAGGGGAGTTAGATAATGCTCTCGCGCTTCTAGATGAGATGAGAAGTCATGGCTTACTTCCGAATACGGTGACTTGTAACATTTTGATAGAAGGGCTCTGTGAATCGGGTAGTTTTAGTAAAGCAATGGAGTTGTTGAAAGAGATTTCACTTTGTTCTGGGATTCGTCCGACAGAAATTACGCACAGAATTGTGATAAATTCTGCATCAGAGAGTAAAAGGGCTGATGATATCTTTTTTATGCACGAGAATCTCGTGGCCTTGGGACTTACCTTGAATGCGGCTGTTTATCATAATTTAATTACTGTTTTGTGTAGACTAAAGATGACGCGAAAAGCAGCAGTTGTATTAAAAGAAATGAAAGAAGTCGGCTTTCCTGCAGATACTGCCATTTACAATGCTCTGATTCGGGGTCTTTGCAAAAGCTCCCATTTGGATGCAGCTTTTGCTATATACCTTCAGATGATAAACGAAGGAATTTCTCCTAATATCACGACGTATAACATTCTTTTAGGTGGATTCGCCTCATCTGGATCAATGCACCAGGTAGACGAACTCCTTTCTGAAATGAAAGAAAAGGGGTTTTTACCGAATGGGACAACATTTGACATTTTGGTTTGTGGACATGTGAAGACCGGAAACAAGAAGGAATCCATACGACTTTATTGTGAAATGATAACCAGAGGTTTCGTTCCTCGTATCAGCACTTATAATCTGCTTATCAGTAATTTCGCCAAGGTGGGGAAAATGAAGCAAGCCATGGAGCTTTTGAATGAAATGCACGGAAGACGAGTCATGGCTAATTCCTCAACTTATGATATATTAATAAGTGGATGGTGTAACTTATCATATCAGGAAAAGTCGGTAAAGAATTTTTGTCAAGCTGAGGCAAGCAGGTTGTTTAAGGAGATGAGTGAGAAAAGCATTACGCCGAATGAGAGTACTATAAAACATCTGAGTTCTGTCCTTGCAAAACCGGGGAAAGTGGTGGATGCTCATAGATTGTTGAATAAATTATACAATACAAAACGATAATAAATTTCTGGAAAGGGAAGCACAATAGATTACATGGGAGGTTAATTTTGAAGAGTCAAAGGATATTTGCCGACCTGGAAGAATGGTAATGTACTCTTGGAACACATCAAGGGTTTTATATGAAAGGTTAGTACTTCCTGCACGTTTTTGAATCTTACAGTGGTTTAAACTGGTTTCAAGTGCACCCATACTCTGTCTTCCATCACACTGAGAATGCTGATTTCAAACTCCTGAGTTTGAGTTGGATACTGTGCAGTAACATGGCCAGAATAATTCAATTTTTATATGTTTGGAGTCATATGTTTTCTCTTCTATTTTTTAGGTTCTCCGTTATCACTTTAGTTATTGATCTGATCTCCAGAATTGCATTTTGAATATCAAAACTCGTATTTCCATGTGCAGAGACTTTGGTTGAGGGGCTCGCCAAAGCTGATATACACCAAGGGAGATTGAAGCTGACTGAGATGGAATTATGGTTGATTTACAAACACTCCATAGAGGTTTGATTCCCCTTACATGTTCCAGCTTCATAAGCAAAAAGCACTCAAAACCCACCCAGACATTTATAGAATTATTTCATCCCCTTTAAACATAAGACAAAATCAAAAGTCTGGTGTTTTTTGTTTAATAAGTTTCTTCTTTCAACAGCTAATTCTTGACTTCCTCAGTTGGCAGGAGCAAAGAGACGAAGCGGACGGTTGCGAGAGACCGTGTAGTTGATCATATAGACAAGGAAGTGGGTGATAGTTTTGGGTCATTTTTGCACGAGGAACATGAAGGTATCATTTCTTTTGCCTTTATTATATCTTTTGAATATTAAGTTGGCAAAACTCAAAATCGTTGTAATTGCAGGGGACTGGCAGGTGATGGGTTCTCCTCCTGAATAAACCAAAGAAGAAAATGATTAGTTCATGAAAAGTCCGCATTTTTATTTAGAAATTGATCGAATATGGGATGTTGAACATTATGTCTCATCGAGGCATTGAGCTCTGGAAGGCAAAACTACCAGAGTTTTGGTGGGGTTTTACTTTTAAAAGGGGCCTTCTTATTTCCTGATATGGCTGAATGTGCCTGCTCGGCAGAGGAGATAACCAGACTGCGTTTTTGCCCAACGTTCTTTTTCTTTCTTTTTGTTAAGAAATAAAGAGGTTTGTATATTTATTTAGGAAGAAATAGTACTTTTTTTTTTTTGTGATTGAATGAAGATTGAATTTTTCACCTCTTTCTTTCTTCCATGGTGGATTTTATAGAGTTCTCAACATCATTTATTATAAATAATTACTTATTCCTATCTGAAAACAATTCAACGAATTCGAACTCCAGGAGTGGATCAAGGTAACATAGTAGACAACTACCAAGAAAGTAATAAATTCCAGGAGTGGATCAAGGTAACATAGTAGACAACTACCAAGAAAGTAATAATAACATAGGAGACGAGAATACTTGTAGATGCAGAACACGACAGAATTATCTGTAAGTTGTAACAAGACTGGATAAAGCTCATTTTTCCCTTTTTAGTATAAAAATTAAAATAGAACAATGTAGCAACAATTTCACAATAATTCTGATAAAATTTACACAGTTCTCAGTAGCCATTCATGATATCATACAGAGTCAAAAAAGTAGATGATTCAAAGTACATGTTTCAAGTTCTTAAGTCGAAGTAGGAAAGTAATATATTACAGTATGGTGTGGGTTTACTTCCGTTTGGAAGTTCTTCGACTTTCAAGTTTTCTACGAGCAGCTTCAAATTCTTCTTCACTTGGCTCTGGAGCCAATTCATGGCTACCATATTTTTGAACAAGAGATGAGAACATGGAGTCAAGCTTTCCTTTCCTCTCGTTTAGCCTTTGTGCTATTATTGCATACAAGTCTTCTGGATTTTTCTTCAATCTGCAGAGGTTTGTCAGACAAGCATTAAAAATTCTGGGCCTCTAACTAGGAACTTTAGAATTCAGTGAAGACTTCAAAGGAAACAAGACTCACTTCTTTCTACGTCTCAATGGGCTTGTAGGAGGCTTTATTTTGGATACTTTCTTGGCCCATTTTTCATACGCCTTTTTTGACTTCAATTTACCTACAGATAGACACATCACGAGAGGGGAAAAAAAAAAGAGAGGATGTGATGCAATCAGTAGTACACTTGTCATTAGTTTCAACTACAAATTTAACTTAAGCTAAAAGTGTGAGAAATTGTTCATGATAGGAAATGATACAGAAGGTTGAGAAATAATCTTTAGTTGCATCATTAACTGGAAGTGAAATCACAATTTAGGAAATCCAAACATGTGAATAACAGAGTGTTCTTAGAAAAAAAAAAAACCTTCAGAAATGGCCTCGTCAATCATATCCTTGAAGCGGTGGGAATCTAGCATGGGATCAGAGCAAATCATGCAGCAGAAAAGCCTGAAAAACAAACTCGGTTAGTCCATGAATGGACAAGTGCAAAATATTATAGAGAGTAAAATTCATCAAAAAATACTTCTCCATGTTGCCCTTCAATTTTTTATACAGCTCAAGCAAATCTTTTTTCTCAGAATCAGAGCCTCTGTAGTTTGCCTCAAACTCTTCAATATCAGCCTCTGTGACCTGTAAATGATATCTAAGTACTTCATATGCTGACTACCATACAATCAACTGATAATAGAGAACACTACCAAGTATCAAAGTAGGTACCTTTTTATACATGGACCTGAAAAATGTCCGCAAGTTGTGGATGACATCTCCTGCTAGGTCCTGTTAATAATTGAAAAAATACGAGTGTGCAGAGAATGAATCGATATTCCCTTAAACTCAATCCTCGGTAGAGTATGTAGACAGGGGAGTATCTAAGTCCTAGTAATAATAACAATCAATCTTAACAAATGCAAGTGTTATACCCTGAAGTGAGGTTGTGGTGTATATATACAAGGGAAAAAGTTGTTCATTGAATAGTTTGGCATTAAAAACTGTAACTAACTTCGACAAACATTATTTCTGAACAAGTATTTACAAATACAATCATATAGGAGTTAACAAAACCAGTATAGCAAGGATAATTTTAAAGACTGATATTATAAAATCACATCACAGGCACCTTATAAATTTTAAATCACACTAAATATCCGTACAAAACATTCATACTCCAAACATTTGGCATATAACGGCAGTAACAACATGTGGTATCAAGACTCACAGCATCATCAGCACATCCAGTCTGATCATATACAGCACGTTTTTCCTCATCACCAAGAACAGAGATGACCTTTTGTAGCTGCTGGAATTTTTCCTTAGCTTCCTATACCGTGAAATGAAATTATCGAAGTGCTGAACACAACCAAATATTTTATATTAGAGAATCAAAAGGAACACACCTGTAATAACAAGAAATTACCTCATCATTGGGATTTTTATCAGGATGCAGGCGCAAAGCCAACTTGTAGTAAGCTTTCTTTATCTCTGCCTGAGAGGCAGTTTTCTCCACCCCAAGAATCTAAGATTCAGACGACCAATTAATTGCTACTTGCAAAGCAATACTAAGAAAGATTACATGTACACGGTCATTTGGGTTATAGTTAACGAAACCTATATCGGGTAGACGGACACTTCAGAGAGAAGTTATACAGTCAAAACATGTTATACTATACCTTCAAATTCAATCACGGCTTTCTTCTTAAACAACTCAATTTTTTTACCCTCTTTAAGCTAAAATATACAGCCATATCAACAATCCGTTAGCCAAGCAGCGCAATTTCATCAGATTCAATACAGACAAGCAACCAATCTCCTCTGTAACTTTACTCAACAGTCCCAATCCAGCATTATTCAATATACTTGCATCTAAAGACTTCAGGTTAAACAAATCATTTTCAACAAACGAAATTACAACACAAACATAAACCAGTAAGAACAACAGGAGTAAACAAAACGATCCAAGCAAAAACCATACCTCGTACAAGCTTGCTGCGGCTGATGAAGATGATCCATGGGAAAAATCTCGGTCTTCCTTCATTTCAGCTTCTTCTTCATCCTCGATGTGCTCCTTGGAAACCCTAGCTCTGCTTCTCTTCCCCATTTCGTAACCCTAATTGTGGAGAGAGTTTGAGTGAGCTTTGGTATTTGCAAGGGATGCGAATTGGGGGCGAATTTTTTCCCGCCACAACGCGCCTAAATTTTGCCTCTGTGCATCTGCCTGCAAGCCTTATTTAGCATTAGGCCCATGTAAAAAAAGTGTGTTTACTTAGTTTCATTCCAAGAGTTGTAAACGAGCATAGTTCGAACCTGATAGTCGGGCTCGTCTCGGCTCATTTATAAAAAATAGCAAATCGAACTTGAGTACTAACGAGTCGGGCTATTACACGGAACATTCAATAAGTGGTTTGCTTCCCATAACTCTAGCTACCATATATTACTTGTCCCAGATGAAGAATGATTGATATAATATATATATATATGGTGAATACTGAATATAAATATAAAATATATGATTTTGATTTAGGTGAATCATCAGTTTTTACTGGAGTGATTTTGATTTGGTTAACATGATTTGATAAGGTAAATATATTGTAAAAATGATTAAAGATTTAAATAAATACGATTTGATAAGTATTTGACAACGTGAAAATAAAAAAATAAATAAAAAAAGGAACAACGAAACAAATATGATCTTGATCTAAAGAAACAATATCACAAACTTTAAAAATGAATCATTCATAGAAATAAAAAATGAACCTCAAACGAGACACACCATTTAAATATTAATTAACTCAAGAAAAAAAACTTGCATATATAGTTATGATTTATAACATGGTCCAAAAACATCTCAAATCATAACATTAATACTAAATCAGTAGTAAATCCTAATTAAGTACTGTGGCTTTG